ATTTTTGAGACAGGGTCTTGCAAAGTTGCCCAGGCTGGGCTTGAACTTGCAATCCTCCTGCCTCAGCCTCCCAGAGTGCTGAGATTACAGGGGTGCACCGCTGTACCCAGCTCATTTCGATCATGTGCAAATACCAAACTCAGTGGCATTAAGTACACTCATAATGTTATACGATCGCCACTTCTATCTCCAGCGAGTTTCCATTGTCCCACACAGACCCTCCGCCCTGCTACGCTGTCCCTCCTGGGCCTCCCCAGCCCTGGTAGCCTGTACTTTGCTGATTCCGTGGGTTATCCCGTGCCGGACCACTCTTACAAGTGGATTCCTACAGTAAGTGGCCTTTCACATCTGGCTTTTCACGCACACTTCACATTCTTGAGGTTCGTCCATGCTATAGCAAGGGGCAGAACAATTTTTTTTTTTTTTTTTTTTTTTTTTTTTGCGGTGGTGGTGGCAGTCGCCGTGGTACTGGGGACTGGACCCATGGCTTTTGAACAGAGCTATATTCCCAACCTTCTTTTAATTTCTTGAGACAATCTAAGTTGCTAAATTGCGATCCTCCTTCCTCTGTCTCCCAAGTAGCTAGGATTATGAGCTTGAGCCATCACATCCAACTAGAGCTTCGATTCTTTTTTATCCATCAAATAATATTCCAGTGCGTGGCTGTACCACATTTTATTGATCCTAATTCACTCTTTCATTGACAGGCACACTCCTTATTATCAGTAAAGTCATTACAGTTTCTTGGGCCAGACAAATGGGCCTAATATAATTTTACTTTTTAAAATCACTTTTGTTGCTTTTCACACAACTTCTCTTTTTCTTATTATTTATTTATTTTTAGCAGTTACAACGTGTCAGGACTCAGCAAGGAAGATGCATTTGATATTCCTGTTTTCCAGGAACAAGAGCCTGTGAGGCTGCTTTTCCAAGGCGACGATGCTGCTAAGTTACAGAGTTAGGATTTGAACTCTGGATTCAGTCTAAGCAGAACTGACCAGCTGACTTGGAAGTCGTTGCCATTATTATTCTTATTACATGGTAAGGAGATTGGACCCAGGACCTTACACTGAGTTACATCCCCAGCCCTTTTCATGTATTTAATCCAGCCTGGAATTTACAATCCTCCTGCCCAGTGCACAGCTGGGCATGGGGTGGCGCTGCAGCGTGCCCGTTTCACGGGTGAGGAAACAGAGGCTGGGCCAGGAAACTGAACTGCCCGGGATCACCCGCTGAGACGGAATGATCGGGGCCTCAGTGACTTCAGAAGTTACGGTGGGTTGGAAGGGTGGGGGAGCAGAATACAGAGCCCGGCTCACCTGAAGCACCACCTGCGATCCGGGGTGCCGTCCGAGCTCTTGCCCACAGTCACCATCTCCCCAGAGCGGAAGGCCCTCCTCAGGAACACGGGGAAGGAGCGCTCCATGTCCAGGATGGTGGTGGCCCACTACAGGGACGGAGACCAGGGCGGGACACTGGTGACCTCCCCAGCACAAGCTCACTGTTTTGATGACAGAAAGGAGCCAGAGGGCCGAGGTGGGCAGAAACACCGAGTTTCCGACTCCTACGGCCCCTAGAAATGTGCTTTATAAACTCCGGCACCCACAGGCAGCTGGCAGCGAAGGAAAGAGTGGAGCGGGACCCAGATACAGAAAGACCACAGTCCAGGCCCTGTGACATCCTCAGCAGGCATCTGTGATGTGGGAGTCACTAGGGCTGGTTGGGGACTGGGGCGAACCAGGAAGCAAATGCCCCATGTAAAGGGGGTCCCAGGCGTACGACTTGGCCCAGAAGGCCAGAAATCTAGACTTTTTT